AGGTGACAACCACACAAATTAAGGAGGTGACAGCCATAACCTGGGAGGTGTAAGCCACAACTAAGGAGGTGACAGCCACAACCTGGGAGGTGACAACCACAACCTGAGAGGTGACAGCCACAACCAGGGAGGTGACAACCACAACCAGGGAGGTGACAGCCACAACTAAGGAGATGATAGCCACAACATGGAAGGTGACAGCCACAACTAAGGAGGTGACAGCCACAACCTGGGAGATGACAACCACAAAAATTAAGGAGGTGACAGCCACAACCTGGGAGGTGTCAGCCACAACCTGGGAGGTGACAGCCACAACATGGAAGATGACAGCCACAACCTGGGAGGTGACAGCCACAACCAGGGAGGTGACAACCACAACTAAGGAGGTGACAGCCACAACTTGGGAGGTGACAGCCACAACCAGGGAGGTGACAACCACAGTCGAGGAGGTGACAGCCTTATTAGAGGGAGGTGACGGCCACAGCCAGGGAGACCTCTTTGCTCATAGGACCACCATGACAAAAGCACCATGAACCAGCTGCTGGCCACAGGCTGTTGCTTGCATTCTGGAGGCTGCGGCTCTGGAGGAAGCCAGTGGCAGAGCTGTGTCTGCGAGGCTTCGCCCTCCAGCTCACAGGTGTGCTGTCCCTGCGTGCCTACGTGGCAGGAGGAGCAAGCGAGCTCCCCCAGTTACACAGTCACCACTCCTGTTCCTGGGAGTTACACAGTCACCACTCCTCTGCCCTGGGACCTAGTGGCCCTGCCAGCTGTACCTCTGGACACTGTGGCTTTGGTGACTAGGTCTTAGCACATGCATCTGGGGGGCACAAACATTCAGACCGCGGCAGGAGGTGGTACCACAGCCAGGGGCGCTCAGCGTCCAGAGTCGCGGTGGGCCATGGCCAGGAGCGCCTCCTTAGAGATGATCCCAGGGCAGGCTGGCACAGAAGGTGGGTGCTGAGAGCCTTGGGGGGAGGTTGTGGGGAGGAGTGTCCCCGTGGAGCAGCCCTTTGGGGAACAGGAGCAGCTGTCCTCCTGAGACGTCTGCCCCATCATTACCTGAAATGGTTCATGGACTTTGTCTTTCAGCTGATGAAGGTCGTGAATGAAATGTGCCCCAACATCACCAGGATCTACAACATTGGCAAAAGCCACCAGGGCCTGAAGCTGTACGCCGTGGAGATCTCCGACCACCCTGGCGAGCATGAAGTCGGTGAGGGGCCCTGGGTGACGGGGACTCGCCTTATCCACGGTGCCTCCTCAGGCACCGTGTTCTATCCCTGAGAACATTCAGGAAGCAGGGCCTGCGCTGGCCATCGTCAGCCGTCTCATAGGGTGGACTCTGCAGGGCACACAGATGGGAGATTGAGAGCCTCTCGCCCTGTGACCCAGGCCGCAGGTTATTTAAGCTGGACACACCTTCCTTCTCTCCATAGAGCCCACACCTGATCTGTGTCCCCTCCAAGGCCATTCACAGCAGCCAAGGAAGAAAGTGGCTAGACTCCCCTCCCAGGAGGAAACGCTGCTCACTGATGGCTCAAGCTACAGGGCTTCACTCTTTTTTTTTTGAGAAGGGGACTGGGGATTGAACTCAGGGGTACTTGACCACTGAGCTATATCCCCAGCCCTATTTTTATATATTATTTAGAGACAGGGTCTCACTGAGTTGCTTAGTGCCTCGTTTTTGCTGGGGCTGGTTTTGAACTCTTGATCCTCCTACCTCGCCTCCCAGGCCGCTGGGATTACAGGTGTGCACCACCATGCCTGGCTGGCTCCCTCTTTTTTTCACGTCAGTCCTATCTTTACCCATTCCTGCATTCAGCCACTTCCCATTCACCTGCTCCCCATCCTGAGCCCCTGCAGGTAGGGTGGGCTTCTCTGGATTCCTTTTTGGTAAATCTGCCAGCTGCTTAGAAATCCACTTAGAGTTGTCAGATTCACTCAACCCTCGCATTCGGCTGAATCCCAGGAGTTTCTTTTGAAGGGCAGATGCCAGCTCTGCTGGTCAATCACATTGTCCTCAGTAGCGGTGAGGACAATAAGGGACAGAGAATTGTCAGCTCTGCCCAGCACAGATGGCCCCATGTCTGATCTGTTCATCTGCTGTCACAAAATCCCAGAGACTGGATCACATACAAGCCACAGAAATCCGTTTACCACAGTCCTGGAAGCTGGGCGTCCAAGACCAGGGGCCTGCACGTTCAGTGTCTGCTGAGGCCGTTTCTCTCAAGACTCCCTCTTGCTGTGTCCTCTCTGGGCAGAAGCTTGAAGGGGAAGAGGGCCTTGCTGGTTCCCTCAGGCCCTTTTAAAGGGTACTAGCTCCTAATCAGCTGCATCCCCACCTCTGGATACGATCACATGGGTCTTAGTCCCAACACGTGAATTTTGGAGAGGCACACATTAAACCATAGCACCCCTCGTATTTCAGAAGCTGAGCTTTGAAAGAGAACATGCTCAGCCCCTTTGCCAACTGTACCGCTGTTAACCTGCCCTGCGGGACTCTTTTCTGCTTGTGTCCTTTCATCTTTGTGTCTTTGTAAGACATGGAAAAGGAGAATATGGTTGCTGTGACTTGTAACCCTTAAACCTCCTAAGAATGAGCAGGACTGCCTGTGGCTTGTGCCGCCCAGGGTTTTTCTGTCTTTGCCTACGTACCTGACTATTTTGGAATTTAAAAGCTATCCCAGTATAATTTGGGAGGCTTATTGGAAAGAACAGGTTGGGCTGCGTGGTTAAGTTTGTATGGTTCAGAGGCAGGGACAGACAGGCGCCCCTGGCCGTGCGCACGCCCGCCCAGCCTGTGCCTCTCTCTCTCTGTGAAGGTGAGCCCGAGTTCCACTACATCGCGGGCGCCCACGGCAACGAGGTGCTGGGCCGCGAGCTGCTGCTGCTGCTGCTGCAGTTTCTGTGCCAGGAGTACCTGGCCCAGAACACGCGCATCGTCCGCCTGGTGGAGGAGACCCGGATCCACCTCGTCCCCTCCCTCAACCCCGACGGCTACGAGAAGGCCTACGAAGGGGTAAAGTGAGCCCAGCCCGGGGTGTGCTCGGCCACCAGGCCACGGGAGGCCCCTCAGGAGGCTTCTTCTTGGTGCCTCCCTGCTGTGGCCAGGAAGCCATGAGGTTTAGGGGGGATGCAAACCATGGCGACCCTGAAAGAGGGACATGCCCACGAAATGGACAGAGAGAACATGAATAATAACATACATAGGATGAAATGACAGCAGACTTCCGCCCTGTGTTGACTGCACCCTGAAACCAGGTGCCAGCCACGCGCAGCACCTTTACCCTCTCCACAGCCCTGTGAGGAGAGCTGCTTTTATTATTTGAGATGTTACTGACGATTCCTGTCCAAAGTCTGATGCAGAATTCCCGTAGGTCATCGGTAGATGTAAAACAAGCCTGTGATGTAAATAAGTGCTGGCGGTACTTAGAACTGTGTTGTGTTGTGGGTCCATGATGATTTACCGCAGTATCTGGGGACAAAATGGACCCCTGCATAAACAGTGGCACCTATCAAATGCAAGCTTTGGGTTACAGAGCTCTGGTTCTGTTCACTGGGGCTCTGCAGAGCCAGAACCCGGGCAGGCGGCAGAACAAGCACTCCAGGCTGTGCCAGCCCCGTGTCGCCCTGCAGGGGCGGAGTCCCAGGTTTGTGGTCACTCAGAGGTCCCACCGAGCTGTGCAGGAGAGAGGAGGAAGAGGTGGGAGGAGGGGTCTCATCCTCTGGAGCAGTGCCAGGTGGCAGGGTGGTTCTCTGGGTGCCCTCTGCAGAGTGACCTTGCTGTATTACCCATCGTCACACATCAACTTCCAGCAGCAGGTTTTCAGGACCCTCCTGGATGCCTTCTTTAGGTCAGAGGGTGTCAGAGGCTCCGAGACCCACGGGAGGAGGTGGACATGGGCATCTCCTAGGGCAGGGGTTGGTTTTCCTGCATCTGCGGGTTCCTTACATTCTGAATCTTCTTCCAGGGCTCGGAGCTGGGAGGCTGGTCCCTGGGGCGCTGGACCCACGACGGGATTGACATCAACAACAACTTTCCTGACTTGAACACGCTGCTGTGGGAGGCCGAGGATCGGCAGAACGTCCCCAGGAAAGTTCCCAATCACCACATTGCCATCCCTGAGTGGTTTCTGTCTGAAAATGCCACAGTGAGTAAAAGTATCCCATCTGCTGAGCAGCGGGCAGCCATAGGACACCTGCTGAGGCCGAGGCCTGGCACTTAGGAGCAGGGCAAAGCCATGTGCTTTTGCTTTCTCCAGAAGCAGGGAAGTGGGCAGGGAAGGAGGCCCTCTGAAGGGGCACTTGGAGGTTCTTCTGAGAAATCACTGAATTACATTTCTTGACAACCGCACAGTGTTGCAAAGACCAAAGCACACGTGCCTGAATTGTACCTGTTGGTTGCTGTCATCCTTGTCCTCCCTGTCCATCTTCCATGACATTACCCACAGCCCTCACTGACGGCTTGACGCATCTGATTTTATTTGAATAAGTCCCTGTGGATTCATTGCATGTGTCACATCTTTGGAAACAAAAATGAAATTGGGTAGGGAATGTTTTCACCAAATGCCTTTGTTCCTGTTTCACAAATATGTTCTCATGAAAGCACTGTGCATTGTTGGGGTGCCCTTGCTGCCCGAGGTAACTCCCTTCCTTTCCCTTATTCTTAGATCTAATCCGTCCTTCACTGGGTCTGCCTTGATTGGAACCTAGGTTAGTGTTAGTTCGACCTTGTAGTTGAACCCCGTGGTCAGGAACCCAGCATTCATCTGTCTTTCTGCCTCTACCATGGAGACATGTGTCTTTCACCCTCAAGGTCATAATCCAGGGTGGCAGCTGGTGCTCTGGCTGTCATGACTGTGAAGGAAGAGGAGAGAAAGGTTTTTTCCTGTGTTTGCTTTTGTTTGTGTTTTTTTAAGGTCCCCTTCTCAGGCAGCTCGGTGTCCTGTAGGAGGCCTTCCTAGAATCCCTGCAGACTTGGGCTGAAATCTCCCTGGGCAGTTTCTCTGCACAGAGCATCCGCTGCTTTGGGAAGCTGTAGTCTAGGTAGCATGCTGCGGGCTAATCCAGGGGGATGCTGCCTCGAGCCCCTGCCCATGCAGCACAGCACGCTGGGCCTCTTACTGGTGGAGGATCAGCATGTGGTCTTCTTCAGTGGCCCACAGCCCAGGGCCGAGCAGGTCCCCAGAAGTTGACTGATGGGGACAGACCACGGTGGCACCCTGTGGTTGGTGAGGATGTCCACAAGCTGATGCAGGGATGGGATTGACCTCATTGGCTATGAGCTCCAGGTCTTCTCAATCTTTCTCCTGGTTTTGAGTCCAACCCAGTTGGTCCATAACATCCTGATGATACCTGGCAAACTTGAGAATTCAAGTGATGCTATATTTTGGGAGCACTTGGATCAAAATTGGAATTGGTTGCCAGCTCTGGTCCCCCCGAGGCTGTGGAGACACTCCATTACTCCAGCACAGCCAGGCTCAGCTCCCCAGAGTTCAGACTTTGCTTTAAGCCTGGAATTCAGTTTTCTAAGCTTCTCATTCTCCAGAAGTACAGGAGAATTACACATCACCAATCCCTCTCTAAATTATGGACAGGTTAGAGGTGAGAAATCAGCAAAAGTAAGATTTAATTAACAAGACCAATAGGCTTTATGTAAGGAACCCATATGAATTCTACAACCAACAATTAGAGAATATTCTCATTAATCCTGGAATATTTTCAAAAATTGAGGGTGAATGGAACTATGATGGAATTTTAGAGAATAGAACTCAGGCAAACACGATCTCATCACCTTCTGTCTGAACTGGAAGATGATGATAAGACGAACGAAAAAATTAGTATGTATTTAGAAAAAGTTTTAAAATCTTCTAAGTAATAGGCCAGAAGAAAGCAATCATACTGGCAACTCAAAAAATATTAAGCAAATGGTAACAAAAACATTATATATCAGAATTTGTGAAGTGCAGCCCAAAATAGTGCTTTAGAGAAACGTGTATCTTTAAATGAATTTATTGCAAAAAGAAGAAAGGCCAAAAATTAATTTGAGAAGTTATCAAAAAGATAACAAGAAACTCAAGTTAATGAAATGATTAAAAAACACAAATATGAAGTAATTTGTCTGCAGAAAGGAGCATTTGATAAAGCTTGAAAATAATTCACAGTAAAATCTTCAGTAAACCTCTGGATATACATGATTAGCTTTCCGGGTGAGAAAGCCTATTTTAGGCAAGATGCACACAGGCTTAATCATAAAAGATTAATATAAATTCAACTACCTCAAAATAAGAAAATCTACTCATCAAAAGATTTAATAAACTATAATGATAAGCTGCAAACTGGAAGATGTTATTTGCAAATTATGTAGCTGAAAAGAAGTAGAATTTTCAAAATATGTATAAAGAGTTTCAATAAAAATGTAAGCAGCCCCGTAGAAAAGACCCGGAAGGCGGTTCACAGAGGAGGAGATGTAGGGCTGGTCTCACCGAAGTGTGGATGAGCAGCAAAATAAGAGGCCCAGCAACACCCAGATGTCAGACAGGTTGGGCCCAGTGGGTGTCATACCTTGGTGGTGAGAGTCGCGACTTTGGGGACCAGCTTGATTACCTTGTGAAACTGGGGCATTTCCACATCCTGGGATGTCACGTGCAATTCCAATGCTGTGATACAGGGAGGAGAAATTTCAGCAGGTGGGTACCAGGTGACAGTGCCAGAAATGTCAAAGCACACTGTCCATCACAGCCAAAGATCGGAGGTTACTTCATGCCGTCCTCTTAAGCATGAATAAATTGAGATCTTAGTGCTGAAGTGACAAAGACCAAATGATGGCTTGAGTTGACGTCGGGGCTGAGCGTTAGAAACATCAGTTGAGTGGAAAAGAAGTACCAGGCAGCCGCCGTCGCCGTGGTCACACCCTCCTCTTCTTTAGATCAGAGCAAATGAAACTCAATCGCATATTTTGGACGTTTGCCTATGGGATGAAACAGAGAGAGAAAATGAGGTTCATTTCAGGAGGCTGTCCCCTCTGAGTGGGATCCAGGGGTGGGGCGGGTGGAATCCTCAGGAGCTGTGAGCCGTCAAACAGGCACCATCCCAGGAAGTTGGGGAGCCCCTCGGGGGCCGGGGCCGACTTTGTCACTTGGCAGTGATGACTTGTCCACACCTTCACCCCCATTCTTTTCCTCCCCACTGACTGAAGCGCGTCCCAGAGACTGTGTCAATCACCCAGCAATTTTTCGACAGCTATCTGTAAAAAAGGGGGACTCTTTTTCAAAGCCATATTTACCATCACTATATAAACTAAATGATAACGAGACAATAACGCGCCATAATGTATTACCCTTGTTATGTCAAATGAATAATGTCTTTAGATCATAAAACGTCTGGTCGGTGTTCACACGCCCCCTGTTACACTGGTCAGTGAGTTCTCTTCCTCCCCATTTTCCACTCTCCCTCTGTCCTCTCTGAGCCCCTCTCATCCCACCTGATCCTCCAGCTTGCTCAAGTCAAGATCCGCAGAAAGCCGTGGGCTTCATGGGTTTGAATTCTTTTGAGTCTCCTGGAAGCTGAGGGTGTTCCCTGGGATCCCGTGGTCTGTAACACTGGATCCTGATGTTCTGCTCCCTGGTGCAGCCAGTTGTGTCCCGTGATGTCACACGTGCTTCCCTGGCACCTCCAGGCAGCTGGCGTGGGACTGAACCTGGACAGAGTAGGTGGGCGGGCCTTGGGGGGGGAGCCAGGCCACCAAGGCGCTGTGGTAAATGGCTTTTGGTGGGTACACATTGGCCTTTTGTCTGTGCTGCTTCTCTGACGCAGGGCACAGTTGAGTAATCGTGGCAGAAATTGTGAGGCCCACAGAGCCGAAGACATTTACTCTCTGGCCCTTTGCACAGAGAGACAGCAGACCCCTGGGCTGGGGCGCGGTCACACTCGGGGTGCTGGTCTCTCGTGCCATTGGTAGCCGTGGGTGAGTGTGCTGCCTGTGAACTGATTCAATGGTGTTGGAGGGAATCATCACTCTGCCAGTGACCCTGGAGGCTGGGGTAGGAGGATCACAAGTTCAAGGCCAGCCTCAGCCACTTAGCAAGATTCTGTCTCAAAATAAAGAATAAAAAGGGCTGGGGATGTAGCTGCAGTCCTGTGGATTGAACCCAGCCGGGGCTTCTCACATGGTGTTCACTGGAGTATTCCCACCATGGAAACCAGACACTTCCCTGGCTTCCCCCCCTCCTTTTTTTTTTTTTAATCCACTATTTTCACAAGTCCAGGTTCCCCAGGACAGATTTTGAAATTCTCGCAATTCTAAGGTCATTCTAGGAGATTGCTGCGTTTTTGAACAGGCGGCTGTTCTGAGAGCCAGCCGGGGGGAAGCGGTCTCTGTCTCATGGTACCCATCGGTTTTCCACGCTCACAGGTGGCCGCGGAGACCAGAGCGGTCATTGCCTGGATGGAAAAGATCCCCTTCGTGCTGGGTGGCAACCTGCAGGGGGGCGAGCTGGTGGTGGCCTACCCCTACGACATGGTGCGCTCCGCGTGGAAGACCCAGGAGCACACGCCCACGCCCGACGACCACGTGTTCCGCTGGCTGGCCTACTCCTACGCCTCCACCCACCGCCTCATGACCGACGCCAGGAGGAGGGTGTGCCACACAGAGGACTTCCAGAAGGAGGAGGGCACCGTCAACGGGGCTTCCTGGCACACCGTCGCCGGAAGTGAGTCTCATGGCCCTGGGGGGCATCACGAGGCCATGCACTCACAGACGGCTGGCCCCACAGGAAGGGCACAGGCGACCCTCAGTGCCATCACCAGTGATGGCTGCATAGACCCTCCTTGACTCCCGCCTGGGTCTGGGAGGTGCCGACTCTCCTATAGTAAGTGAGATAACTGGGCCTTGGAGACCGGTGGGGGTCTGCCAAGCAAGAAAGGGGTAAGCTGGGGTCTGTCCGACCTTGCTCTTGGCCACGGAGCTATGCAGACTGTTACAGGATCACAGACGAGCGAAAGTGGACTTAGTGGTGGTGTTGGACCCCAAAGAAAGCCCCCCCCATGAGGAAGCAGAGCACACTGGCACAGAGCTGGGCTTTTACCCAGAGCTCTTCTGGTTTGGGGCTTGCTGTGCCAGAGCCCGTGAAGGGGCTTGGTGCTGATCCCACGCTCAGGTGTGAAGTGAGTGGGCTGCAGGTGTGTCCAGAGACCCCTGCATGGTAGAGACCGTATCTGCTGTCCACTGCAGGCAGCAGGCCTGGCCTCCAGACTCACCACTGCACGTGGTCCAAGCAGCCGTGTGCAGAGTGGGGACCGTGAGGTGTTCCTTCTAGAATCCAACAGGCCTGGAGATGCTTCCGCCAGAAACCTCGAGAACTGCTTGGCAGCCCAGAGGACCCCATGGTCCCTATGGTCCACCTTGCTTCCTGACTCTGGCTCCTAATGCAGGAGAGATAAGGATGGCATTTTCCCTAAGGTCCCCGGCGTTGGATTACAAGACCCCAGCATAATTCTTGTGGCTTGTTTTCTTGATTTTGTGAAGGTTGGTGAAGCCAATGATGGATTTGAATAACACTCTACATCAGAAAGACCTGGATTCGAATTCACCTCTATCACTGAGAGGCTGTGTGACCCTGAGCAAGTTAGTTTACCCCTCTGGACCCCTGTATTTTTCCATTAGTAAAGTTGGCATGATGGTGGTCATGGTGGTGGCGATGGTGATGTCCCCTGAGGGGTGTCTTGAGGAGGTGGAGGAGTGGGCTGCTCAAGGTCTGGCTTCTCAGAAACCCTCAGGGCAAGTTCCCATCCTGCCCTTTTCCTCTCTCAGGGCAGACTCACTGTGAGTCTCTTTTTGGATTGTCTTCTCTTTCTCCGTTCACTGTACAATGAGCTTTCATATGACTTGACTTTGCTTTAAATTTCGCCTTCACATGATTTTCACGTATATTTCCACCGTTGGGAAAGAAAAAAGCAGAACTATGTGTTCCCATGGCCATTTTAAGACACAGAGAGCCTCCCTGCCCGACTGTCTCCATCGTGCACCAAGTGGAGGTGTCCCTCTTGTCTCCACCATGACTTTTGCCTCATATGAAATGTTTAAGAGCTGCAGATCCCCGTCTATCGGCAAGAGTCCCCAGGGGCAAGTCACACTTCACACGCTCAGTTTTAGCCCCAGGACCTACCGAGGGAGACCTTCGAGTGCAGCGGTTCAGGGCTGCTGGGACTACGCTGGTGCAGTCGCAGTGGGATTGGGGTCGGGTCACCGGCAGCGACACGCAGAGTCAGCTGTGCCTGACCCCTTTCTTGCTTGGCAGACCCCTATCAGTCTCCAAGGCTCAGTTATCTCACTTACAAAAGGAGAGCAACCACCTCCCAGACCAGGCGGGAGTAAAGGAGGGTCTAGGCAGCGATCAGGGGTGCGTTTTTCTCTCTCAGTTATATTTCCCATTATTCCTGGGACCTGGTGACGGAGCCCTTGCTGGCTGGGGCCTTTTTAATCATCCTCCCTCGCAAAGGGCGACAGTCTGCAGGCGTGTCCTTTGTAGGTTAATGAAATGTGATTTCTCACTCTCGCTTTTTGTCCAGTTCTTCCTGGTTAATGGGGGAGGGACAGCTGAGAGCCAGGCTCAGTCAACTTCACAAAGCCACCGTGGGCACTGTGCGCATGGAGCACCACGGTGACAGACGTGGGGTTCCCTGTCCCAGGCCTCTGGTCCTGTGCCTTGTCCTCCAAGGGTGCAGGTGCACAGAGCTCTGCGGACTGTGTGGCCCTGTGTCCCCCCTGAAGCTGGTCTAGTCCGAGAACACCAGGGGATGTCCCCTGCCCCGGCCAGCACTGGAGGCCTGACAAGCGCTGCCCGGTGCCGCAGCGCCTCGTCCCTTGTGCTCGGGTGGAGGAAGCTGGCTGTGGGAGCCGGCCTCGCGGGGCCTGGCCCTGGCTGGCATCAGCAGCAAAGCCGGCCTGGCCCGAGCTTCCCCCAGTTCTGCTTTCTCATCCTGCCGCTCAGGCTTCCCGACCTGTAGAGACATGTGCAAAACGTCTCCTGATTGCTTCTTCAGTTCCTCAAAGCCTGAGAGGGTGGCCACAGACACTCTGTGTGCCATGAGGCGTCCGGCCCCCGGTGGAGAGCCATGCTAACCCTAGTGGACACTGCCCAGCCCCGAGGCCCTCTGCAGTCCCTCTGAGGACTTGCCTGAGTGACCTGACTGGGCACGGGGCCAGCTGTCTGCAGCCAGGCCAGGCCCTGGCGGAGGACTCGCATTCCCTGACACAGCCACGCCGTCCTCCACTCCTGTCCTTCCTTCTTTTATCACCATTGGTGACCAAAGCCCATGGCTGCTGGCTTCTGAGTGATTGGAACCCAGAATCTGGTAGAGAGTGGCTTTTCACAAATATTAGGTGAGGCGGTGGCTTCACCCGTGGCCCCCTACTTGGGAATGTCACCTTATTGGGACCATGGTCTTTGAAGTTGATTACACTAAAGGCCTCAAGATGCAGTCATCCTGGGTCACCCAGATGGGCTCTTAAACCCTGAGAAGTGTCCTTATAAGGGACAGAGGAGACCGTGTAGAGACAGGGCAGAGAGAGGGGAACACCTGGGCCCCCAAGAGCAGAGAGGCAGGAAGGGAGCCCCCAGAGGCTTTGGGGGAGGACAAACACCTTGATTGCACACGTCCAGCCTCTAGAACCGCGGGGAGTGGGCTCCAATCCGTTTTAAGCCAGATGAGGCCCTAAGCAGCTGCAGGCCAGGAACCTCGTACAGAGCCTGTCCCCCTGCCCGATGGCCGCTGGCTCCCTGGTTAGTCATACTGTGGCCATGTTGGATGTGGGGGTTGTCGGCTTGGGGCTGGTGGGGTGGGCATGTCCACAAGAAGTGACACATGGTCTGGAGATGCGAGCGAGCGCTGTCACCAGGCAGACCTGGGCCCACATTCTAGATCCGATTCTGATCATTTGTGGCCTCAACTTTCTTATGTGTAAAAATGTGCCCTGCTGCGTACCTCTGTTGTGCTTGGGGCTGGGGGGGGATACAGTGACCCCTCTAGGGGATGTAGGGGACCTAGGACAGGCCCTGGATGACAGAAGGCACTCAGTAAAACATGGCATGGAATTACGCCCATTTTATGGCTCAGGGTAGGAAATGGCTGAAGCTGAGGTCCGTGTGGCTGTGGAGACAGATTTAATTCAACACTTAAAAGCCCCACAGTGTTAATGACTGAGAGTGGGTTAAACCACCTTATTAAATAAATACGTCAAAGCACCTGCTCCCGCCCTTCCTCTGTCAGTGCCGCCTCGGGCAGTGTCCTCCCCTGGCCCTTCCCCCACTCCCTGCCCACTCTCTCCAGACCTCACTTCTGCGGTCCTGCAGGTGCTGGTCAGTGGTAGGTGCTCGATGCCTCTGGGTTTAGTGACGTCCTCCAAGTGCTCGGGAACACCCCTGCTGGCTCCCCTGCCGCCAGGAGCCTAGTGCAGCGAGAATGTCCCTTGGCTTGGCAGGTCTGAACGACTTCAGTTACCTGCACACGAACTGCTTCGAGCTGTCCATCTACGTGGGCTGCGATAAGTACCCGCACGAGAGCGAGCTGCCCGAGGAGTGGGAGAACAACCGGGAATCGCTGATCGTGTTCATGGAGCAGGTGTGGCGGGGCGCGCGGCTGGGGTGGGGCAGCCGGGGAAGGGGCTGTGCCTGTGGCTGAGGGCGTGGGCTGAGTTAGTGCTCCAGATCCGGCCATCACCCTGGCCATCACCCTGGCCAGCCACAGTGCTGCCCAGAACCTTGGCCTGTCTGCACTTGGCCAGAGCCCGGGGCGGGGTGGGGGGGAATGCTCCCAACTAGTGGGGCTCCTCCACACGTTGGTGGCACAGCCAGAGCAGGGCTCTCGGGCGCTGAGTGGGGAGTGGGTGACCTTGTCTGAGCAGGTGTGCCCGCAGGCCGTGTCTGAGTTTGCTTTCACCAGGAGAAAATACCGCAGACTGGGGGCTCCAGTGGCAGTCCTGGAGCTGGAAGCCCAAGAGCAAGGTCAGCGGGTGGTGTCCTCTGATGCTGCTCTCTGTGGCCTGCAGATGGCGGCCCTCTTGCTGCCTCGGGAGGTCACTCCTCTGATCCTGTGCGTCTGTGCATGTCCAGATCACCAGTCCTGCTGGAGTAGGGCCCATGGCTTCGTTGGACAGCCTCAGTCGGAGGCACTAAGCTTCACGTGATAAACGTTGGGGGGTCCAGTGCAGCCCATGATACCCCCAGGCCTTCAGAGTCACCGTTGTAGGGTGTGGCGTGAGATGACTGGAAGCATTTTTCCCAAGGTCCTGCAGCCAACTGATGAGGCCCTGAGTCTTCTTCACTGGACCCCTGGAACACCTTCCCTGCGGCGGGTTCTCAAGACACACCGATGACGGAGCATTAGTGAGTCAGCCAGGTCTAATGCTAAAGCTAGCTGCATCATAAAGAGGCCCAGACTTCTTCCTGGAGATCAGGGGTTATGCCAGCATGCACAGTGAGCCCAGGACTCCGCCAGCATACCAATTAGATTCTGGTTATCCCCTGCTGGAGGAAGGACAGTCCTGGGGCTGCACACAAGGTGCCCTCCTGTGGGTTATTGTGTATGATTCAGAAGCTGCAGGCAGCCCATGGCTTGGGTGCCGGCTTCCTGGTGCCTGTGGCTGCACCTCTGCACCTGGAACTGACCTCTCAGTCTGCCCCAGGAGGTCCCAGGAGCTTCAGCACAGCCCCAGTGAGTTTCCCTGGCATAAAAGCTGCAAGCCAGTCTGCTCTCTTGAGAAGCCATGAAAACATGTCTGTCCCGACCCGGGAATTTGTGAGGGATGGCGCCTTCCCCTTTGCATTCGAGACTTGACGGCAGCAACTCGTCATTCTGCAGCAGTGATCTGACTTAGCCAAAGAGTCTCCTGTGGATACAAAGCCTGGGCCCAGTTGTATGCATAAAGAATGTCTTTGGAAATGAGGGCATGTCACCTTGGATCACCACGTCATCCTACACCGGGGACTTGAGGCAGGAGGTTCAGAGTTGACATGTCTCCTGACCCAGCTGATGAGCAGAAGGTGTCCAGGCACAGTGGGCCTTTCTAGAAAGGCCTCAGTTCTCTTCTTTCCTCTCTGACTCTTCAGTCATGAAGTCCACAGAGCCCAGGGAAATCCAAATAAATGTGTCTTATCAACATTAAGTTTTCCTTTTGGGTGGGTCTTGGTCTTGAACTCTCGGATCCTGATGTTTTTTAAGTCTGTGGAATATTTTAATTTTAATGGGAGACTTTCTGGTGCATGGACCCCTAAATGGAATTCAGGAAAATGCACTGGGTCCGTGCAGAGCCAGGGTCCTGGGGCTGGCCTGGTGCAGGGAGCGTGCTTGCTTGGCAGGGACGGGGCTGGCTGGAGTTTGGGCCACTTCCTCATGCTGAGTGTGCAGAGCTCACTGTGTCTCCCCATGTCCCGAGCAGGTTCATCGCGGCATCAAAGGCCTGGTGAGAGATTTACATGGAAAGGGGATTCCAAATGCCATCATCTCCGTAGAAGGCGTTAACCATGACGTCCGAACAGGTAACGCGGCATGTCTATAAACTGTCTCTCCATAAGAAATACCTGTGTTCTTGAGGTGCTTCACTTCAGTTCCAATCACGACCCGAAACTCCTTGCTCAGAGCTAAAGTAGAGTCTCCTTCTTTCCCTTTCCCCGGGTTTTCAGCCTCTGCTTCTGGCTTCCTGGGATGGGCTTGGAGTAGCCTTTGGCTTCTGGCTGCAGTGGGAGTTTCTGAGAGGTGGAGGAGGCAGCAGCTCCTTCTCCCCTGGGTCATTGCCTGTGCAGCAGCTTGGCACCCAGGTCAGCAGGATGAGCCCTGCTGGGTAGGGCAGGCAGGCGCCCCTACAGGGAGACGCTGTACACTTGAGTGTTCCTGCTCATGGAGGACCTGGTGGGGCTGGGGTGGAGCCATCAGAAAGGACGCATCCAGGGAGCAGCTGGGGTGGGGCAAGAACCTGGCCTTGACTGCAGGTCAGAGAGGATGCAGTTTTTCTGTTGAACCATGGAAATGACCAATGTGCTTTAGGAAGACTCCAGTCTCCCGGATGTAAAGCGGAGGATCACAGTGAGCCCACGTGCTGTTTTGGCATCTCCTGCCTGCTGGACACTCTCCATAGCTTTGCGTGGATTGACTCCTGTCTTTACAATGCTGGTCACTAGGCGAGGAAACGAGGCACGTGAAGAAGTGCAGCAGGGAGACCCAGCTCCCATCTGCTGAAGGACAAAGGGGCTGGGCTGTTAACTCTTGAGGGACCACACATTGACTTCCATTTTAGTGAGTGTGGAGAATTCAGAATCTTGGATACTCTGAGGGCTAGAAGATGCTATTTAAAAGGCAGTGCTGAAATCTTGTTGCAACTCTTTCGCAATACCCAGTCTTGCAAACTTGGTTTCCAGTTCCTAAAATACCAAAGTAAACTCACACTTTTTTCTTTTTCTTTCTTTCTTTTTTTTTGGCTCTTGGGATTGAACCTGCCTGGCAGGGGTGCTTAACCATGAGCCATATCCCCCATCCTTTTTTATTTTTTATTTTGAGACAGGGTCCTGCTAAGTGACCTAGGGCTTCGCTAAGTTGTTGAGGCTGGCTTTGAAACTTGCCATCCTCCTGCCTCAGCCTCTTGAGCCACTGGGATTACAGGTATGTGCCGCTGCTCCTGGCTAACCTTACACTTTCAAACGCATTCATGGTGTGACCACACAGTCTCAGGAGAGCAAAGGACTGACTCTCCCCAAGTCCCCCCGGGTCACTCAGCTGCAGCAGTGGCACGATGCTGTCTCATGTGACCTGTTCCCCCTCTCTGAGAACATCCGTACATGTTCTTTCTTTTCTTTTTTTGTGCTATCGCTGTGAGGGAGACAGCCCATTCTTTCCCCTGTTCAGGTGACAAGCAGACGCTCCAAGAGGCTAGTTGGCCCCATGGAGTTTCCAGAGATGATCTGGGTTTGCATTCCGGTCCCTACCCCAGGCTGGGCTGAAGTGTCGCCTGCAGGTGTTCCGCAGTATCCACACAGGGGACGCTGCCGTGGTGCTGGTGGCTTGAAAGTGATGTGGAAAGAAGGTGCTCCCACAGTCAGGGTTTCGAGCCCTCAGGTCCCAGCACTGTCGTCACCTGGGAGACCTCGGTTCAAAACTGCAGATGCCAGGTTCCAGGAATCCCCAGTCCCTGGCAAAGAGGGGTGACCGCTCCTTCCACCTGGCTACTCGCTGTTCCTTTGGACTGAGCCCGCGTCAGGGTTGTCACCGTAGCCCCTCCTTCTGCCTGGACCTTCTCCTCCCAGGGAGTCCTTGGCTCCTCCCTCAGCCCTGCCCAGGCTGCTCAGGTGTCACCACTCAAGGCAGCCAGCCGTGACCACGACCTAACACTACGCACCAGCCCGCCCGCCCCGGCGGTCCCTCTTAGCACCCAGCTTTGTCTGGGGAACTTCTGTCTTCTCACATACTATCCTTGAACCCACGTGGCTGTCCTCACCGCTCACAGCTGTCAACGGATCCTGCCCTCCAGCTGTGGTCCATTCAACTGCGAGGAGACACAGAACCAGGGACATAGGAGGAGGACAGGCGGGGCCCACCTGGCCTTGGGTTCACTGATTTAGATGGATGAATTATGTCTGAAACGCCACCGCGTGGTAGACGGCCTTGTGGGGCCGTAAATTGCATTCTTCCCATTTAGTTCTGACTTATTCACTCTGTATTTTCGGAACCTTCCCGGATCCGACAGCTGCTGACCCCGAGGCTTCGTGCCTCATTGCTCGTGACTTTGCACATGGCAGCCCCACAGAGGCTCTGTCTTCGGTTGTTCATCTGTTAGTTCAACGGATGTGAACCGAGGACCGTAAGGTGCTAGAGACGGGTCGCTGGCGGTCACTATGAATGAGGGAGGCCATTGGGTCTGGGCCTGCCTAGGATTGGTATCTTAAATATCCCTTAAGGGATCCTTTAAAACAGCGATTCATAAAGGCGTCTGGGTCATTTCTTGGACTGGGAGTGCCTGGGAGTGCCTGGGAGGCCATGGGAGGGTTTTCAACTGAGTGGGAGGGAGGAGGCCCTGGGCCACAGAAGCCTGGCTCAGCTCTGCATTTGAAGCCCCTGTATTCAAGGGGCAGTTTGGATGAGCTGATGGGGACGTGCTCTTATTCCCCCTGTAAGCGATTTCCCAGTGTGTTCTCCTGACAGGCGTGTTCCACACTTTACATCTCCTGTTCATTTTATTGGTCTCACTGTCTTTGGGAGCTCAACAAAAGCTCCGAATTTGCCTTGATTTCTATCTGACACTTATTTGACCAGTTTTATTGACAAGTTTTGTTTCAGGAGGATTTTGCATAAAATAAACAGACAAATTCCACAGGGAGCCAAGCGCCCAAGGATGCTTTGGAAATGCACATGGATGCGTTGCTAAACACCTGACTTGGAATTCCACTGTGGACTGTTCTTGTTTGGTTGATACCAACCTGACCTGTTAGTGGATAGACCTTCACGGGCCTGGGCTGCTCCTGCTGTCCACAAATGCCCAGTGATGCCACTCCTTATCCCCTCTCCACTGTGGCTGCTTGGGGTGTTCACCCCTGACACCAGCGGTCCACTCAGGGGGACAGGAATCTGCCGCTGTGCCCTACATTTCATCCAGTATATGTTCATTTCTGGTTATCAAGGGTAGGAGCAGAGATAACAACCTTGAGGATAAGGTGGGGAACCCCTGGCCAGGAGCTCCCAGGGATAGAGCGCCTGCCCGGCCCAGGTGAGAATCAAGCAGGTCAGGTTTCAGAAGTGGACACTGTCAGAGTACAGAGCCACACTTCCTGTTCACATCTTCCTGATAATTCCGTTCATTCTTCCAACACGTCTTACTGAGCACCTACTAGGTGTCAGACTGGAAATGCTGCAAGAGAAAAGAAGGGGGACTCCTCTCCCCAGCAATGTGCCTTCTCATGGAGGCCTGCAAGTGAGAGTAAGGGACAGACTTCAAGTTTAGTGCAGACTCTAATCAGGGCCAGGAAAGAAGGGAATGTGGAAGAGCCGGGAAAGCACTGCAGCTGGAGGGAAGGGTAGCTACTGAGTCAAGAATCTGGGAACAAGGAGAAGCTGTGTGGCTGGAGTGGCCACTGTGGGCAGTGGCCGCGATGAGGTGGGCAGGGCCACAGGCCTGAGCGGGCTTTTGCTGAGTGCTTAGCTCTCACGTGAGTAGGGACTCCTCAGCTGAGAGGGACACTGTCTCCTAGTCCCTGGCTACTTGTCTGATCTCTCTATTGGACAGACGTAGCGTCTGCCTGAAGCCATCAGGCCTCCAGCCTGACGGGAACACAGGCCCTGGCACCTCAGAGGCTGTGAGACAGAAGAGGAGACCCTGGGGAACGTGGCACATGGAAGGACAGGGCTTGCTCTGACTCCTTAGACCCTCCAGGCCACTCGTGATGGAGGCTGCCGGGTTATTCCCTTTCCCACACGTGCAGTGTGATGCCCAGAGAGGTGGACACCTGTGTGTGAGGCCACACAGCTAGTAACTGCAGGTCTGTCCTGGGACACCCCGCCTAGAGCGCTGGGAGCGAAGGCTGGGTTTGACCGAGTGCTAAGCTGCCGAGTCCCTGGTACACATACAACACTCGCAGCATCAGGTTTGAATTCACATTATGGTCTCAGTCATCAGGACACCCCGGGCCACGCAGTGAGCTCTCCGGAGCCCAAGTTGTTATGAGGGTGTTTGTTTGCCACAGGTGCATGCGGTCTGCCACAGGTGCATGCGGTCTGCCACATGGGGACTCCATAAGAGAGGCCAGGTGCCCCCTACACACACACACACACACACACACACACACACACACACACACACACACACACACACGGAGGGAGGAGGCTCCCCGTTTTTCCCTGTTCTTCCTTTTGTGAAAGTGCAGGGTTTTCTACAACACAAAATGCCTTCCTGGCTTTTCAGCAGGTGAGAGATTCCTGGGCTCTCCTGGCGCTGAGCTCAGGCAGGTCCCCTTGGAGACGCTTCTGGCTCCCACTGCTCCCTGGGCCGAGCTGAGCAAGCCCCTCCTTCCCGGGACCCCCACCCTCCTCTCCTTCACCAGCACTGTCCTTGAGAGTGATGATGGCCTCCTGCTCCTGTCTTGGCCCATTGCTAGGCTGGGAAGTCCTTCCAAGTGTGTGTCCAGCACTCTGCCAAGTGCCCTCATTGAATGACATGAGGGAACAGGGGCCAGACGCCATCTTAGCACAGCGGGTGGATATGGGGAGTCTGCGGTACAGCGGGGACTCACAGGGATCAGTCAAGGCCTGAGCTGGCCCCTACCAAAGGCTGTCCTGAGGCACAGGAAGCCAGGGATGGACGCTGGTCAATTAGTACCTGCTGGTAAGTGGCCTAACTGGGGTCAGGGTTCCACCTTGGGTCCAGCCACAGCTTGTGAGCTCAGGGCGTCTCTGCCTCATGGCAGCTGTGTGTGAGGACCCGGCTCTGTCTCCCTCAGCCCCAGCCATGGAACGGTGGCTGTGGAGTGGCCGCAGGTACCAGGCCCTCCGGGTTAGTCCATTTCTCTTTTCAGAAGTGAAGAAACCCAGCCCTTTTAGAAACTGTTTTCCTGTATTTGTAGCCATGCCAAGGGCGTCAGGAGGCCTGATGGCGTTCATAATGAATGGCTTGTACTGCCACAGAGAGGAGTGGTCAGGATCACTGGGGGTATCGTGCATCCCAGGCCCCTTCCTGTTAAACCCATGATTACTGGTAGCTTCCAGTAGAGGGAGAGGTCTTGGCCTCCGGAATGCACTAGGGCTTGCTCCGCAGGCTGGGTTCTGGCTGGGCTCAGAGGCCTCTACGGGGTCTTGGAACAGGCCGCTGGTGTTCGTGTTAGAAAAGAACCGCTCTGAGCCTCCGCCCTGGTTTCTCTTCACAGCCAGCGATGGGGACTACTGGCGCCTCCTGAACCCTGGCGAGTACGTGGTCACGGCCAAGGCCGAGGGCTTCACCGCCTCCACCAAGAACTGCATGGTTGGCTACGACATGGGGGCCACGCGGTGCGACTTCGCGCTCAGCAAGACCAACCTGGCCAGGATCAGGGAGATCATGGAGAAGTTGGGGAAGCCTGTCAGCCTGCCTGCCCGGCGGCCAAGGCTGCGGGGGAGGAGGAGACGGCAGCACGGGAGGCAGCACGGGTGACCCTCCTGGACGGCTGAGACGCGTCCCAGACTCTGGCAAAGGAGACCCGCCTCGTAGTAGCCTGTAGAAGACTCGCTCAAGCTGTTTTCTCTGTAATTCAAGAAGCGTCTGGCGGGGTGGGGGGTGGATTGGAGGTTGATCCGTTGCTGGAGGCTTAGGATATTTTCTTTCCTTTGTTCCCATTTTTCCAAATACCTTGGACAGAGCAGCAAAGAAGGGCTGGAGGGGGCAGAATTCGCCAAGTGAACCCCGGGAGGGGGGGGAGCCACTCTGGGTTCAGGGCCTCCCGGCTGGGCTGCGTGTAGAGGGACCAGGGCTTCCCCGCTTGCGTGACAGCAGGAGTTTCCTCTGCATTTGCGATTGGCACAGCTGACGTTGCAGCCCTCCTGGAGCCTGCCGTCCCCAGTGCTACCATTGGAGATGCTCTTGGGTGCCCTTAGAGAACCCGCCCTCTCTGGCTGGCCCCAGGACATTTCGAGCTGCTGCAAATAAAGGCTGCACTCCCACGACAATAGGGACATTACCAAGTGAACATCAGTGGGCCTCGGGGTCAGCCCAGTATCCCTTTTCAGCAAAGATTGTGTCCACAAAAGGGGACAGAAGTGCTTGCTGGGAGCCAGGCAGCACTGGGCTTGTCACGTGCAAGCTGGCCCCAAGCCCCCAACTCCCTGCTGGCCCAGCAGGCATGGGGGGCAGTGTCTGGGGCGGAGGAGAACCAGAGGTGCCGGCCTTCCAGAGGTGCCGCATGAGTTAGTCTGGTCTCCTCTGTGGCCTGCTGGGACTTGCAAACAGCAGGAGAAGGTCGGCTTCCCAGCCTCTCTCTGCTCCTGCTCTCGGCCTCCCCAGCTGACCTGTCGGGTGGGAGTCACTTTTGATGTGTGGAATGCAGGTCTTCCACCTAAGACGGGAGTCCCCGAGAAACCCCGAGGCTTACCCGTGGAGCCTCAGAGTGGGAGGGGGGGTTATTGGGTTATCAGCAAGCAAACAGCTATGTGTCACTTTTTATTCGTGTTGCTGCCTCATTGATCTGGGAAGAATGGGAAAAAATAAAGAAAACAAATGGTAAGAGTCTCCCGGTGTGCCTTTTCTGGGTGGTCTTGTGGCCACCCATATGCTACCGCCATTGCCTGTCTCTGAGGTCAGTCACCTAGAAGAGATGCCTCCTGGGCCCTGTAAAACAGCTATGGCACTGATAGCTCTATGTTCCCCACCTCGTTCCCAGGACAGACAAGTGGTGGGGACATGCAAGTGCCTCCTACAGATGCCAGTGAGTGTCTCTGCAGTAAAGTCCTCATGCAGCTTTGTGATGATCTGCACCAGGACTTGGCTGACTTCTGATAAGGATGACATCATCAGGATGGGAGGCTGTGCCAGCCGTGTGGTCTCTGTGTAAGTGCTCGGCTCTGAATGTGCACATACATCAGTGAGTGGACATGGCTGTGGTCCAGAGCACCTTATTTACTACAACAGGTGGCAGCTGGATCTGGCCCACAGGCTGGGGCATCATCGACTCCTGCTGTAAACCCGTGTTGTCCAACAGAACTTCCTGAGATGGTGGACATGCTCTGTTTTGTGCTATCTAATGTGGCAGCTGCTAGCCCCAGGGGGATGCCGAGCACCTGAATGTTGGCTGGTGAGACTGAGGACCAGGATCTTCTTGTGTTATGTAATTCTAATTAATCCACATTTAACTTTGAGTAGCCGTTTGTGGTTGGAGGCTCAGCCAAGCCCTTCCTAAGAAAATCCACCCCTCAGCATTAGAGCTGTAGGTGTAGCTATAAGACATTTAAAATTGTAACCCCACCCCACCCCTTTCCTACCCCTGCACTTCAGAAGGTCGACGGCTCCCCATCTGCTCAGGAACTGGTGGATTTGTGGGGTCTCTGCCACGCCTGACCTGGAAGCCGAGCCCTGGCACTTGGTGCACAGAGCCTCAGGCTCATCAGCAGTGTTGAGCTTGAAGAGTGCAGGGCCACCGCACGGTCTCCAGCCTTTGTGCAGGCCTCCGTCCTCCCTGCAGTCCTTCTCCGTCAGGCGCCACAGACTCTAAGCAGAGCTCTGGCCTCCAGGGCTGGCAGTGCCCTCCGGGGGGTGTGTGGTCTCAGGAAGTCACTGTCTCTCATTTGCTGCTGCAAAGCGAAGCCCCGGGTTTGATGAACTCTGAAGGTCAGGCTGGCTGGGATGTTTGCTGGTTTTTGGAGGAAAGCCAGAGCCCGGGTTCCAGAGCTCTGCTCTCAGGAGTCGGGAGTGGCCTCTCTCCTGGGCCCTCTCCATGCTCAGTGGCTCCTGGCAGGGTCTTCAACCAGGGGCACTTTCCCCGGGCCCAGCCCCTGGGCTTTGGCCCTACCTGCCGTTCTCCGGCGGAGTTATGCTCCCGGGCCTGGCCTCCGGCTCTCCAAGGCCGCCCTCCTTCCTCTCAGGGCCTCCATGCCCTGGGACAGTCTGCCCTCAGCACCTCTCAGAGGACTTGTCCTCCTACAGGCCTCTCTGCCCTGGGTCTGGAAGCCAGGCGGGGCCAGGAAGGTCCCCTGGGGTGTGGGCTGTCCCTGGGAGTCAGCAACCGTCCGCCCCATTGCCTGGAGTCCTTCAGAAGACCCTTCAGGATACAAAGTATTTGAAAGCTCAGGTCTTGGGGCCAGGTCTGGGTTCCCAAGGGCAGGAGCAGTGACCCCTGGGTATCTGTCCCCCAGGGCCACGCTTTGCTCACAGCAGGTGTGAGTACGTGTGGGGGGACAGTCTATGCCACCCGGAGCCTTGGTTTTTAAGATTCCCTTAAAAGTTGAGAAAATGTGACTTTAGAAATTGAAAGTCGGTCATTTGAATGTATCGAGTGTGTTTTTTCCTCTCGAGTTTTCACTTGTATAAGCCAATCTTGGACTTCACTGAGTAGAAACACTGTCCATTCAGAAGATGGCAGGCCTGTTTAGATTCAGATGTCCTTCTATAGGAAAAGATCAGCCCACAGAGAATCTGCAGAGAACCTACTGTTGTTTGTCATCTGCATTCCCCACTCAAGTCCCAGGTGGCTGCACTGCCATTTGACTGCCACCTCTGCTTGATGCTGAGACTGTTGGTATGGGATTGAGCCCAGGGGTGCTTAACCACGGAGCCACATCCCCAGCCCTTTCTACTTTTTGCTTTGAGACAGTTGCTAAGGCTGGCTTTGAACGTGCAATCTTCCTGCCTCGGCCTCCCAGGTCTCTGGGATTGTAGGTGTGTACCCCTGCCTGGCCCTGCTGAAGGGTTTTGAGGGGCTGTGGGGAGCAGAAGCTCCAATCAGAAGTATTCAGTGATCACGGCTCGTTTTCTTTGAGTTTGGGGCACAGTGTTTCACAGGACTCAGTCCCTGCACAAAGGGATGTTACAGAGAACTGTAGAAACACGTGGTTACCCTGTGCAATCAGCACGGGTGTGAGTGGCACTGGATTCCAGTGGTATTCTGCATGGCAAGGCCAGAAAGGTCTCCCAGAGTTGCAGGTTCAGGATAAGCTCTGGGTGGCACCACCCTGCCGGAGAAGCTTGGGTTTCCATACCATTTTGGGTTGGTGTCCCCATACCCAGTGGGCAGCCACAGCAGTGGGGTGGCTGCTACCCGCAAAGCCACAGCCCAGTGGGACCAGCCAGCTGCCGCTGAGACCTATGGTTCCTGGGCTGACCTCTTGTGAGGCTGTGGCGGCTGGTCCTCCTGACTGTGGATCCCCCTCACTTAAACACATCCCCAAGTGTCCAGGGCACGGAAAGTCCCCAGAAAATGAGGAAAATAAAAATCCAAGAACTGAAACACGTGGGTGAAAAAATCTTTGGGTTGCTTCGGTGTGTGCAGAGGAGAGCAGAGTGCCTTCCTTGGAGCTGAGGGCCACTTCTGAGACCAGTGCCTGCAAGTATGGAGCCAGGCCTCCCCTTTCAGACTGACTCATCAGCATAGTTACTTGGAACTTGGTGTTAAGGAGGGTTCTGAGGCCGAACCAAAGACTGCTGTGATTCATTAGCCGCGTGCTCTGGATATGGGAAGGGGTGAGAGCGGGAAGGCAGCCTTTAGGTCCAGCCCCCGCCCACCCCCCCCAGACAGGAAAACTGAGCCCCTGGGAGGCCCATGGATCCCCCAAAGGCATGTTCCACTAAGGGCAGGAAAGCTCCAGCCTGGGAAGCTGTCTTTAGGTCCTGACAACCCTGGGGTTTGACATCTTGGCCTGCAGGGCCTGACTTTCTCAGGAGCAGCTCATGCCTCCAGGCAGTGACAGAGCATCCCGGGCCACAGGCCCCTTCTGGAAATGACAGGAATGAAGAAGGAGCCCTCCTTGGCTCAGCATGTGCAGGAAACCAGCAAGGAGCAGGTTACACACGCAGCAAAGCCCTGAAGAAGCTGATCCGGCCTGATTCCTGTGTCACAGCTCCGGGTTGGGGTGGGACCCCCTGACAGCTATCTCCCAACTGCCTGTCACACTTGGTTTTCCATTGGTGACGCTCCTGGAGGTGCAGCTTCCGCATCCCTCACTGCCGTGTCCACCCCCGTGTGTTGGGAGGTCAGCAGCACACGGCAGCGTTGTGAGCACAACCTGGCTCAGGAGGGGATGGTGGCCCTGCTCGGGGCTCACTGGTGCCAGGTTATGCCACACCGTGCCTCGTGCACTTGCCTGGATCCGTGGGAAGGCCTCTCCCTGGAGCTGCCCGCAACCCCTCTGGAGCAGCCTGAGCAGGGAGGATCTGACATGTGAGTCCATCCTGGGAGTCCACCACCCACCAGCTGGACTTGCCTCCAGGTCCTTCCGAGTAGCCTTCAACAAAGCCAGGTGTTTGAGAGTCTCATCCTTGGGGCTCGGGGATCTGGGTTCGAGTCCCAGCCCTGCTTTGCTCCCTGCACGGCTGTGGGTGAGTTATGAGCCTCAGTTTCTCGTGTGTAAAATGGGCAGGGTAACCTACCTCACATGTAAGCCTGGGGAGGAGACAGAGGCCTTGAGGAGAGGCAGCCCCGGGTCTTCAGAGGAAGGAAGAAGCCCACCAGTCCCTGCACCACTCGGGGGTCAGTGGGATTGAGAGCAAAGGGCTGGAGCTTTGGGGAAGGTGGGCTTGCTGGAACCCCAGACGGCCTCTCCATCTGAGCAACTTTGAGCGAGTGACATCATCCTCTCAGGGCTGATTCCCCATCTCCAAAGTGCGCACAGTCACTCCTGACTTTTGGGATGGTTGTATGGGTTTGGTTGAGGGTAATCTATTTAAAACACCGAGAACTTAAACACTGAAGTGACCTAGAAGCGAAAATGGGCTGTAGTTAGAGAAGAGTGCGGCTGCTTTAGCACGGACAGGCAGCTTCTCCTCGGGTTTACCCTGGGGGCTTCCAGGAATCCCGCAGATCTACCCCAGGGTGCGCGCCCCAGGAACTGGAAACCGTGAGCACAAAACCCAGCGTGAATGCTCATAGCAGCAACATTCTCTGGATAGCCAGCAACCCATGCTCTGGGCGATGGGTCAACAAGAGGTGGTCATCCTATAGTGGCACCTAACTTGTCGATTAAAAGGAGAGAGTGCTGTCACTTTCACCAGCCAGGAGAAGCTGGAAACCATCAAGCCAAGCAAGAGAACTTAATCACGAAAGGCCACATGAATGATTCCATTTCTGTGAAATGTTCAGAGTGGGCAAATCCACAGGGACACCGTAGACCAGCCACTGTCTAGGGAAACAGGAAGATTGGGACAGGTGCAGCCCACATAAGTCAGAGGGTTTCCTTTGGGGTAAATATTCAATATTGATTGTGGTGAAAAACCCCAGAGTTGAACGCTTTTAATGTATAAATTCATACACTTTAAACTTATAAACTCACAATAAAGCTATTTTAAAAAAATAGGGTCATACTGAATCATTTTCAAATACAGCATTCCAGGCAAGATCTTTGGTTGTATGAGCAATTTTTCTGATTATATCCTAGTGAAGAGGAGGACAGATTCCTATTGAATGTAGGCAAATGGACACATAAATCCATCCTGAGGAGGGAGACTCAGAGGTTCTGACGTCAGGATCAAAAGCCAAGTCAAATCCAAGCCACTGTCCTTGTTTAGCACCTTCACACTCTGGA